TAATAGCAAATAAGGGGTGCCTTGTTATGCAGTAGATATATTAAGATGATGTCATATGGTCTGCATGGAAAAATTAAATGAAAGTTTGAAGATGCCAGAATACAGTGACCTAATGATGACGAAGTTGACGATAATGATGATGACGCTGATGATAATGAGGATGAATGAAGTTATTGATGGATAATGGATGAGAATAGATGATAAATAATGATCACATTAATTAAACAATAAAATATTATAAATAATATATTTAATAAATCACTGAAAAATATTACCACAACAATATCCTCCGGCTACGTTGTCAACACATTGTTCATCAATTTGGCAAGGAGAACTGTCACATGCATTGACTGATCTTCCTAAATAAATTGTTAAAATATCATTTATTGAATAAATTGTACATATTGCTCTTATTATAGAGCATACGGGGTTCTAATAATGCATAACAAAAGGTTAAAGACCTAAATAATTAGTGGAGCATTATTAAATCTGGTTTATTTTTAGTCAACTCTATGAGATTCAACATCATCAAAATAACGCACACAAGAGAATAAAACCACCAAACCAAAACACTATAAATTGTTCTAATTTCAATGATTATTTATATTAGAACATTTGTATACAAAGCTAAAAGTTTACAAGACCATTGAACGTAATTCCAGACAACTTTTACTGTAATACAGTATTGAACACTTACAGGTCAGCAACTCCTTTTGTGGACAGATAAATTGTCATTTTAAATCTTTCATTCGTGATTCATTGTAATTTATTCATTTGATTCTGATTGTTGCAGCATAGCCACAATACATTTGTGTCTTAGTGTATCATTGATGGATTGGAGTGGCAAAAAATCAGTCATAAGATTAGGCCTAATGCTAATTACTCGGTAATATATTTTTAATGCAATAATGACAAGATGTTTGTTATGATGTAATTTTGTTACAATATACTAAAGTAAAAACTGATGATATTAATAAAAATTCAGGACTAGTGTCGTAAACTATTTAGTTGTTTTCACCTTGTAAATACAATCAAAGGTAAAGTAATGTTTACCTGTACATGCAAGCTGGCACTGTTGAATTGTTTGAGAGTTGCTACTATTGCCATCACAATAATATGCAAAAGGTAAACAATTTCCAATTGTGTGATCGTAATAAAATCGCAATATTGGTTCTCCTGCTGAACACATTCCTGAGTCAACAGGTAACATACAATCCTCTGTAAAAGGCAGAAATGAGTATAATAAGATTTCATTACTAATGTATTTTTATACAGGCCGTGCTAAGCAAGATACATTATTTTGATATTCTTCTAACCAGTGAAATACCATTCGTATGTTAAACAGTATTTCAGAGAAAGTTTACCTGCTTCTTAAAAGTATTATTTAAAGTATTAAATTATTGTGAAATTAAGAAAATAAATACCTTGTCCTGATGTCTTACAAAAGCTTAGTAAAACAATGGAAGCCAAAAGTAAACTATGCATAGCAGTATTTATATGTTTTCCATTAAATGTTGAAAAATTCATCAAAATACTCATAATGCTTCATATGATTCGCTGCTTTAAGATCTTCCACTGGTAAAGACCGTTCAATGAAAATGAATGAAGTAATATCTATTTAAAAAACAAATATGAAGTTACTTTTAAAAGGTACACAACTTACCAGAATTGACATAAATTTATATACTCATTCATTCATTATTCAGACTTTCATAAAAATGCATAATACAATCAGTACATAACATAAATCAAACGATCAACAAAAAAGCTGGTCAGGTTGTTTGCTTTGAAGTGGAGTATAAAGCCGGGCAATCACTGCGTCGTACGACGCACAGTGGGCCAGACTGAAGTCAAAGTGTGCCAAAATTAATTACTCATTACAGAAGCAAATCTAAGCAATACAAGACTTATCTAGAGGTTTTCATAGCCGTAGAATTCAATAAAAGCATTTTCAAATCTATATGACGTCATTTTTGTACTGTTTTCTGATTGGACGATGTGAGTTTTCATTGTAATACCAAAACAAGTTCATATTGCAATGATTTTTGAAAGGAAGTTTGGGACAAAAAAACTTCTGTGGGAAACTTTTTGTATTTTCCATGACGTCATCAAAATACATTTTCTGATTGGACGGGGTCAAACGTGGCATAGGCCAACATTAAAATTTCTATTGTTAATCTAACAGTGAATATAAATGGTTTTTTTTTTAATAAATCGGAATCGAAATCAAAATCGAAATTCGTTATAATATCAGACAACCTAATTTTACATTTTTTAAATGTATGTTTGCATCTGAGATTCCATGTAATTATCAGACATTAAGCCTATACCAATGTCGTGATATATTAATTCCGTCCTCAATCATATTAGGCATATATTGTAAAAGTATCGATAATGGTCGTTTTATGTTTTTTTGATAATTCTCAGTGCAGTGAGAACGAGGAGGCCTTGAAGAGGAACGTTTGCTGTCCTCTTTGACAGGTATACTGTACCACCAGGATAGCAATGCTTTTTTGCTACTCTTATTATGATGTAAGGAGGAGTCTCATTTTACTATGGAGCTACAAAGATGGACAATGTTTCATCTGTCGTGAACTATTCCGGTTTGCGCCTCAGGGTGACGCCAGCAGGGGGAGGGGCAGGGTCCCCGTCGAGGAGAGCTCCCCCACCCCCCGGCGTTGGGGAGATAAACTACAATTCGTCAGGGAGAAATAACATGTGTATTTGCTACATATTAGTAGACTCTAAAATCGATTAATCTTGAACGCCCCTTGCAATGCTGCATTAAAAAGTTCTCAGTGCGTACATTTTATGTCAACATCTCTTTTACTTTACCCTTGTGCGAACTCTGGAAAGATACCCCATTCTTCGGTAGGGCGTGCCGGTTAATTGGGTTGTTTTTAAGTCTCTTGTGGGTTTTCTGCTGGTGTGGAAAGAATCCTGTTGTCTAGCCACGAGTTATTTACTTTAGAAACCCGGAAAACACGTGTTTACGTTCTTATAACGTTCTTGGTCAATGTTGTGGTCAGGGACGTATCCGGGGTGGGGAGCTATGGGA